GCCCTGAACCTGAATCCAGCGGGCAGGTCCTTCGGTGCTTTTCGCAGGTTGCTCAGCCTGCCCGGGATCGTTGTGCTTTCCCATTCCCCAATCAGCGGTCGATCTGAGATACTGCTCACCACGTCCCCCACCCCTTCTTCACGGCTGGGTGTCTCTTCGCTAGACGAGCTGCTCGGCAACGCACCACGGTGGTCGTCACCGTTGTCGCTGGCGTTGGAACTGGCGCTGTTCTCAGACGCCGTTGTTTCCGGTACATCCTGCAACTCTGGTGGCACTATCATCGTGATAGGCTCCACTGACAAAACCCCCTCCTCTTCTCCCTCTCTGCCCTGGTTACCTCGTTGCTCTGTGAGTTCTCTCAATGAAACCATTTTTACCTGAAATGGATGTGAAGTCGATTCGGTGTGCTGTTCTTCAGGCTGGAGCGTTTCGCTTCAGAGAATTTTTGGAAAGTTTAAGCAAATGCAAAATTGAAAATGAAAAAGGGGAACGGTTACGCAGAGAAGGATAGTAGCGTTAATTGCCGTACGCGTGTTTCTGACGCGCCAACTAGCGTCCCACACGTGGCAGACGCTTAATGCCTCTCCTGCATAACGTGCGCCGACTTTAGCTGTCACGTCCCTCGAATGCTGATCTAGCATTTATGACGGGGAAGGCAGAGAGATATGGGAAGCTCAATTGTATCTCTTCAGAGATTTGCTTAACTCAAAAATCCCCAAGATTCAGATCGTAACTGTTGAGGTGCACCCTACACGGTCATGTCAGCTCGCCATGGCGAGCACACTCACCAGGTCGTTACAAAGATGACATATTGCCCAGATCGGCTCAACCCTGCCAATTCGTTCACGAGTGTAGATCTTTCACTAGGATCCAGCTCGACACATATCGTGACGACGAGCACGTTTACCAGGTCCTTGCATGGACTGCAGTTCACACTAAGCCGCAAGCCTTTGCATAAATTAATAGGTGCATGAGGTCGCCCTATTCGACAACATTACTCGTGCGAGCTGGTAAAGTGATGGTCAAAAACATCAAATCACACTACATGTGAGGTTGCGTCGCCTCACTTCGTGATCATAGCTGGCCGAGTGTCACCTGGTCGCACTTCGGTAATGCTCCAAGGTCAGGTCGCCTTACGTCCGAGCTGAAAGGGCGTTATCTACGTGACTTGTCCACGTGCGAGCTCGTCTGTTGCGAATCTCTTCAGCTTGCCGTCATCACCAGCCCACACCAATGCGGCTATGGATACCGGCTCGCCCACACGTTTTCAAGCTTGTGAGCTCGCCTTTTTCCGTTTTACCTCTCGGCTCGGCCCTCGTCGAAGTCGACGGCCCCGTCACTACATCCATCCCAGTTCGTCAACCGAACACTGGGGGGGGAGTAATGTTGGGATAGGCCCAACAGGCCCAACACCTAAACAGGGCTGTGGGAAACGGGCCTAGGCTACCACCCATCAGCCTAAACTGAAGGAACATCAGTGCAAGCATACCCACGTGACCAATGCCACGCGGGTCAAGGGGAAGCTTACACGTGCAGATG